GAGCCATGCCAGGTGCAGGGTCTGTTAGCTGGGTGCTGGCAGGCTTGCACCTGGCATGGGCATTGTAGCCAGCCCGTGCCTCTTTAAGAGGTCCGGGGCCAGGAGGGGGACAATAGAGTTTCCCTGGTGTTGGCCAGAGTGGCCACCAGGGAAAGCTGGGGAGGGCTAGCCTCCCACTAGTTCGAATTAAGGGGCTACACACCCCTTAATTCGAACTAGTAAGTTCGAACTAGGCTTAGTCCTCGTACAATGAGGTTTACCTAGTTCGAACTAAGCGCTCTGCTAGTTCGAATTAAGTTCGAACTAGCGGAGCGCTAGTGTAGCACCTATCAAAGTTAATTTGAACTAACATCCGTTAGTTCTAATTAACTTTGTAGTGTAGACATACCCTCAGTGTTCTTTGGTTTTCACTTTTAGTTGAACGTGGGCTAGCAAACATTTCCAGAGAAGTTCATCTCTAGATCAACAAAGGCTCGCCAACCACCATACCCAGTGTGCTTATATATTAAGAATATTGTTATTCACCATATTTTCCTGCTTCTTACTTGAGCAGGGACTTCCTAGCAATGTCCCCTCTAAACTGGGGGGGCAGCACAGCTTCATGGGTGATTAATCAGCCCTGCCCAGTCACGCCCTGAGCCTCTGATGGGGCAGGGATCATTAACCACCGGTGAAGCTGGGCTGCTCAAGTAAGAAGCAGGAAAATATGGCGAACAACAATTTTCTTACTATATAAGCAGTTTAGAGAGAACAATGCTGCCTATGGGAACAAATTAACTGTACTGAATAGTAGATGAGTTTGGAGGCATTCTATATATGGCCTTTCATGTCTAGAACTTATCATGGAACCCAGATACGATGACCCCCCAATACAAGTATTTCCTGCTGTTTGCAGTGTTTTGCAAGGACATGTCAAATTGTCTTCTGTAACAAAATCATGTTTTCATAATGTAGAAGACACATAATTCTGTATTGGATTGAGCCTTCAGAGCTGCATCTCTTATATAAAAGCATTAGCAAAATGCAGGACAATGTAGCACTTTAAAGACTAACAAGATGGTTTATTAGATGATGAGCTTTCGTGGGCCAGACCCACTTCGTATTTGATCTGAGGAAGTGGGTCTGGCCCACGAAAGCTCATCATCTAATAAACCATCTTGTTAGTCTTTAAAGTGCTACATTGTCCTGCATTTTGCTAATGCTTTTATATAAGAGATGCAGCTCTGAAGGCTCAATCCAATACAGAATTATGTGTCTTCTACATTATGAAAACATGATTTTGTTACAGAAGACAATTTGACATGTCCTTGCAAAACACTGCAAACAGCAGGAAATACTTCATTAGAAGCTGTAGCAGTGAATATTTCTATTACGGTGGTGCTCAAAAGTCCCAGTTGAGGTTAAAGCCCCATTGCACTGGCTGCTATACAAACACAGAAAAGAGACAATCCTGCTTTGTTCGATTTACCACTGAACACATAGTAGGACCGCCATATTAGATTATTGAGCTTGAGAACTTATTAATAGGATTTCAAAAAGAATCAGGCATTTATGTGCACAATTAAAACAGCCACAATTATTTCAGATAGGATTATGTATTATATGCAGCCAGGGGCAGATGACCGTTTTGTGGAGCCCCGGGCAGCATAACTCCGCGGGGCCCCCCCTTTGCCACAGCGCATGCTCAGGGCTTTTTTAAGCGTGGGGCCCGGGGCAGCCGCCCCGTTCACCCTGCCCTATATCTGCCCCTGTATGCAGCCTCATACTTCAGTGACTTATTGGAGTTAGAAGAAGCTTCCCTTATGGAAAACTTATTCCTTAATTGTCCAGTATAAGGATCTAGCACCTTCTGCAAGTTCTAGGTGTTTTAATGAAGGCCAAACATTAAATTAGACAGCTCATCATCATGGTCCAGTAAAAGTAATTCACTTGTTTTTACAGCAAACCCACAGCTCATCATGCTGGATTAGTATGAAAATCACCCCATATCTGTTTAAGATATGCATATTATTGTTAAATTCTAGACACAATGTTCAAAAGGGAACTGCAACATATGATGTACCCATTCACCTCATGCAGTTTGTCTGCTTTCTGCGTTTGTTTCTTTCGGCTTCTCTGGGCAGCGACTCTGTTTTTTTCTCTCCGTCTTATCTTCCTATCATCCTCCTCAGGACTCTGAAAAACCAAACCAAACCAAGCCTACTTTACTGATTTTTTTAAAAGTGCCTTGAGATAGAAAAGGCAAGGAAATAAATGTTAGTGAAAATAAGCAGTCAGTCTCGTGTGTTTCTATATAATATTTTATTCTTCTATAATCCCCTCCATCCACAGCTCTTACAGCACTTTGCAAAGATCATTAAGTGGTATTATCTTCATTATACAAACAAGGAAACTGAGGCATAGAGAGATTTTTATGGCCGAACATTTGCAGCTCCTATTGACCAGTGGGAGCACGAGTTGGTGAGCAAATCAGTGGCACAACTAGGATTAAAAAATAGAGAGGCCTGATTCTCTGGTTTCCTGCATCTGGGGGGGCTGGAATTAGCAGCACCCTCTGGCTTGAAGTAGTAATAGCCACCAAAGAAATGGTTTCCACTTTCAGCACTCCTACTATAAAAATTGCTCCAGCACATCTGTCTGTAACTTGTAGCCACTTACACCTGTGTATGAAAAGTAGATGTAAAATTCTATCAATAAGAATAATAGTGTTTTACATCTTCTTAATCCAGTAGACCATATGGTCTCTGAGAAACAACCTTATTGATCACAGAAATAGCATATAACATACCTGCCACAATACCTTTGAAATGTACACAGTCATCAATGTTTTTGGCTTTTTAAAGAGGAAGATCTCCTATTTAAATGATCTTAACTAAGGGTGAATCTACACTTCACTGTAGCTCGAAATAAGATACGCAATTTGAGCTTTACAAATTGCGGATCTTAGTCAATCTTATTTCGAAATAACTCATTTCATAATTTGGTCCTGTCTATACAGCGCCAAATTTTGAAATAACCTGCTATTCCAAAACATCCCTTACTCCTCATGGAATAAGATTTACAGGGACATCAAATAGTGAGCCTGAAATAATGGGCTTGCTGTTAAGACGCAGGATGGCTATTTCAGGATACTCCGGTATATTGAAGTAGTGTTGCAGTGTAGATGTAGCCTAAGAGATCCTATTTTGGATTCACATTTTCCTGTATTGTTCCCACACAAAAGCCACTCACAATCTAGAAAGTAACTTTCTGTTTTCATTCTGAACTCTTGAGAATGGTTTATGGAGGCTTTGGGAAGCTTTCCATTATAAATCCAATAATTAACCCCCCCCCTTTACCTGTAAAACTCTCCATGTGGTCTGAGATTTCATCTGCTTCCTCTCAGACTAGAGCATAATTTTATATATATTAAAGGAATTGAGTAAACAAGCTTGCCCTCTAGCTAACAATGCACAGCAGCAGTTGTCTAGGGATCTCAGTTACATTCGACATAGAAGTCAGTATGATTTTTATAGTCCAGAGAATGAGCCGTCACCTGTAAATCCTGCAGAAGAGCGAGCTGGGCTTGGGAAGCAGGGGACGAACTCCTGAAGCATGGGGTAAGTATTTCTCTAGAGGTCTGTAATATGACATAATCAATAGCCTTTCATTGTGGTTTAGAGAGCAGACATGGAGCTCATCCCAGCATGTCAAGCACAGCATTACAGGAGCTGGCTGCTGTTGCTCTTAGCAATGTTTACTCCAAAACATGTCAAGTTAACCACGGTTTCCTCTCTTACAAGGAAGATTAATAACAATAAAGCAGAGAGCAGTTAAAATGCAGATCCTGGCTGGAAAAAGCTGTCCTAGTAGGAGCTGTAATGCAGTGCCACCCAGACTGCTAGAGTCTGCAAACTGAACTCATCTGTGAGGTAACGCTATTGAAATTAGTGGAGTCACACCAGTGATGAATTCCACCCCATGTGTCCGACAGGCTCAGGAGGCACGTGCCTGCATGTGGTTTCATGGAAGAAAGGGCTAGAGTGGGCAAGAAGAGCGCTCATGGTTCCTTCAGATCTGTGCAAAGGGGGCATCTTGTTCTGTTCTTTTCTGCATCTTCCCAAGGGGCTAGACATTACAGCCAGTGGCAACAGAAACATTTATAGAGTGGTAGTGCTGAGCTGTGCCCTCCTTCCCTACCTTACCCTGTCCGTGCCCCTCACTGCCTCAAGCTGGGACCACAGCTGGAGGTGGCTGCAGAGCCCTGGGTGTGGGGCTCATGGTCTGGGGGAAGCAGTGGAGTCCTCAGTAGCCAGGGCTGTGGGGACAATAGTGGAGCCTGTGAGGCCAGTAGCCAGAACCCCCTGGAGCTTGATGGGAGCCCAGGTGGCAGCAAGGCCCCCAGGTGCAGGCTGGTGGCTGGGACCACAGCGCAGGCCCCACACCCCTATTTCCCATGCCTATGACTGCAGCACAGGAACATTCAGGCCACATCTGAAGAAGTGGGCCGTGCCCATGAAAGTTCCTGGTACCATCTACATGTTTTGTTAGTCTTTAAAGTGCTACTAGATTATTTGTTTTTTAAGTTTTTTCAGAACATTGATCACAAATCACAGCAAATCCATAAGAATGTAACTGCAGAGCCAGCATCCCCTGGATCCATCTCTCGCTAGTTCCTTCAGATGATCTGCCTTGATATTAAGTGTATATCCATTATTGGCAATGCTGTTGTGCCACTGAAGCTTTTGACAACTGCTGGATTTCTGGACATGTAGTGACATTCCTTGATATACACATTTTATAATTCATTGGTCTTTAGTTCTAATATGTCTATCCCAAGAGAGCCACTGAAACTGAACTTACAGGGGCAGTTGCTGGTTTTGATCACCAATACCGTCATTACTGATCTTATCCTTTCAAAATGTGAATTGAATGCAAGTAAGGTATTTGTGCAAGCAGATGAACAATTGGTTGTATGATTCTAGTCATGTGCTAACATACAAAAGTCAAATGCTTTGAGTATGCAATTGTATGCTGTTGCAAAAATTGTATTCTGCACGTGTAGAGGACACTCATTTGCCACTGAAATAACAGCAGCTTCAGAGGTGAGGGGGAAAAACTATTCAGTAGTGCTTAGCCACACTAAACCACACTTTAAGAAATAAAAAGGTTTAACAGGTATATTAAATTAAAATTATAACTGCTAATTGATTATTATAGAGTGTGTAATATAATTATGGTGCAACAGTAAAATAGAATTTTCTGATTGGAAAATAGGGGTAAATCACTAGCTGAATGAGCCATTAGCTAGCAAAGTGCTATCACAAACTTACTCTTAAAAATAAAATGGAACTTTCAAAAAAACACAAGCAAAATATATTCAGTCATCACAGTGTTTAGTGATAAAGTAATTTCAGGAGTTAAGGATTAAATAAAAGAAAACAAAACCCCTCAGGAAACTGTTAAAGGCATATTGGCAACTTGAAATTTAGTCAATAAAAAAAAGTGTTAAAAGTCATTTCAGGTACTGCAGCTACCTTGATCTTACGCCATTTTGTTTGGTTTTGTAATCGTATTGTCATATTGAAAAAGGAAAAAAAAGGAAATTTTGCTTGTTTTGCAAAAGACCCACACAAGCAGCAGACAGTGACAATATGGCAACCATTAGGTATACATTCTATTGAAAATTAAACACTTCCCCCCCAATTTCTTTGTTATAGTCATTTTAGGCAGGGGTGGGCAAGAGGTGGCCAGTGAGTCAGATATGGCCTGT